AGCTACTCTCAAAAAACTCGGATCGGAATCCATATAGTTACCCGAGTAGCCAAATGCACACTGACACACCGGCTGAGCTGCATAAGAACGAACGTTACAGAACAGAGCAAAGCCACAGAAGGTCCACGACTCACACATGCAAGCAAACCCTCGTCTCCACCATCGTACATGTCGAAAATCACCGGATCTGCTCGCCAGCTACCAGATCTGACCTAAAAAGAACCAAACTCAACTCGCCATGATAAAAAAACACATACAAGAAATATGGGAGGATAATAGAGAGAAGTAGAATACATGAAAAGATTGGAGAAGAAGAAACAACTGGTTCCTGGCGAGTCGCAACCAGTGGCCAGTGGTGACCGCGTACAAAATGTGGATTTTCTATTTTTCTCTTGCTATATGAAAACGTTATTTTTCAAAATTTCCTAACCTACACTATTATTATAAATACAACTTTTACCTAACTTTCCTTATTTGTTTAACTATGTGGGTATTTTCAACTGAACCATCACAAACATTTTAGAAACCATTTTCTCATGATAGATTTGTAATATCATGTTCATCCATGGCTAATGGGCCTTCTATTCCCAGGCCCAATTTCGTGCGAAGTGCAGTAGATTTTGGAGGCTCAGAAATCTTGTTTCTAACATTGCAATCATTATATGACTATTCCTCGTACTTTTGTCTCACTCATACAATACACCGATTGACTTTCCGGTAGACTACCCATTCTTCCACTACTCCAGTTCAAACATGTTTAACTCTAGAGTTCTAAACGGATGTATGACTGAAAAATTAAATGCATTTTGGGGACATAGTAAGCCAAATCAATTATCTAAAAAATTTCCACATATACCAAACCGGGCTGTTCAATTACCCCCTCTCACAGAACGTTATACCCTTGTTTCTCGCCAAATTGTTACCTATGTTTATTAGTGTTAGTCTACACAAAGGCTCCATATTTGTATGATTTTGGCTTGGATACCACTTGTAACACCCTGACCGCTCATGGCTAATGGGCCTCTCACACTAGTTCACTCGGTCCATGGGTCCCATTCCGAGCGAGAAGTGATGTGTTAATTTTTCAGAGGCTCAAAAGTCTTGTTTACAGAGCTTACAATCACCACATGACATTTTCGCGTGCTTTGGCCTCACTCACACGATATCTCAAACCACTTCTAGATATGTCACCCATCCTTCCACTACTACAGTCTACAGCTAAAGAACGCTTAACTATGGACTTCTAAATGGACATGTGACTGAAAATATAAGTCATTTTGGTGAAACAGGTAGCCAAATTAATTTTCCTAAGTCTTTCCATATATCACAAATCAGAATATTACAACTCCACACTTTTGTGTTCGGCTCTGATACCATTTCTAATGTTCCCCCGTTTACGGCTAGTAGATCTCCCATGCCTGCTTTATCGGCATGTTGGTCTATTTTGTCCGAGTAACGATGCGTTAATTTTTGGAGGTTTGAAATTCTTGTTTACTGACCCTACAATCACCACACGACATTTTCTTGTGTTTTGGCCTCACTCACACGATCGACTTCTTTATAGATCACCCATCTCAAGTACATTTAATTCTGGAATTCTAAACATATGTATGACCAAAAGAATAAGTACACTTTCATGACATAAATAGTCAAATTAATTCTTTTAAAATCTTCCACATATAATACAAACCAAAATTTTACAAAAAAAAAATTTACAAAAGTTTTATAAGCAATGAAATTTGAAACTAAATCATAACAAATTTTATGGAGTCAAATTTTAAATGATTTTAATTTTTTTCACTAAAGACATATCCCACTTTTCCATAAATTTAAGATCAAAGTTCACCTTTCACAACTATCATATATGTATGGCACAAGTGAAAAAGATTTACACCGCCATATAATTTAATGGAAAACTAAAAACATTATCTAAAATAGTCAAAAAAATCTGTGTTTTTAACGCATCAATCAAAATTTAGTATATTAATTATTTTAGATCTAATATGCAAAAAAAAAAAAAATCAAAATACCTGAAAATATAAAAAAAAAATTATTTACAATAGTCAAAATAAATATCTGAAAATAGTCAAAACACTAAAAACCTCAAAATATCCTAAACATCTATCAGTTCTGCACCCCAATATTTAAACTGAACACATTTTTTTTTATTTTTAGATATTTGGTCATAACTTAAACTGAACCCCAATATTCCAATTTATGTGTTGTATTGTTTTTTAATTTTTTATTTTAAAGAATTTAAGGTAATTCAAATTTTTAGTTTTTAACATAACTTAAACGACGTCCCGAATCTAAACTGAATCCGAAGCCGTAAAGATCCAAAACAAACTTAGATCAACATTTATAAATCGAATGAAATTTAAATATTTAGTCTCGAAAACTCAAAACATGAATAGATTTGAACGAGACTGATTAGATATCCAAACTCCCACACAAGTTTGTATACTTATATAATGAGGTATGCTGGCATCCAAGCCACTCGTATCTTAGATTTGTCAACTTCTTTTCTATTACAACTTACAAGCATGCATTTCAGTCTTTCTATTCCAAGCCTATAGAAGTTTTTAAATTGGTACAAAAAGAAATCTGTGATTGCAGATAATGGATTTTATTTTAGAGAAATTTAGGCAAATACCCTTATTTGAGGCCAATATTAGTGGTTTGTCCATGATGGGACATTAATGGTCCAAACCATACAATTATGCTTGGAAATGTCCAAAATGCCCTTCTTTAACTGAAAAGTTTCTGCTGATAACAGAGAAATGTCAGGAGAGAGGAGAGAGGAGAGAGACATGTTATTTACATGTGTTGATAGATTTTCTTAAATGCTAAAAATGTTATCAAATAATAATATTTTTGATATGTAATATAAAAACATTATAATAGATAAAATAATTTAACATTTGATATAATTAAAAACATAAATTACAATTAATTGCAAAATTTCAACATAAATTTATAATTTGTTATAAATTTGATATTACATGTATTTGTTAACAGCTAAGTGCTAACACATCTGTTAACATACACAAAATTTATTAACAGTTAATGTCTCTGTTAATAATCACTAGTGTCGATTGTTAACAAAGTTGTTAACAGTTAACAAATAATGTAGATGTTAACAAATGTTTTAGCTATTAACAAATACATGTTCCAGATGTTAACATGGGTGTTAGTTGTTAACAAGTTTACGTATTAGAGGTGTTAACAGAAGTGTTAGATATTTATGAAAATTATATATCTTAATAGAGGTGTTATGTATTAGCTGTTAACAAATAAATATCACTGAATTTTGTGTTTTCCAATCACATTGAGTAAGTTTAAAATTTAAAATTTAAAATTATTATTTAAGAATCAAAGTGAACTCAAAATAAATAAAAAATATTTAACATATTTATTTTACATGTAATTCATGTAAAAAAGATAATTAAAAGAGGAGATGAAGGAGATAACGAGAGAGAGAGAGAGTTAAAAAAAAAAAATAAACTTGTAGGCTGACATGCCTGTGTGTGAGAGGAAATTAATTCAGTCACATCATGTGTATTTCTTTAATTAAGGATTTTAAAAGGATATGTGAACAAATAATCTTTTTATTTTATTCTTTAGTGGTTACATAAGCCCATTATCTTCTGAATTCTGATAAAAAGGAAGTCCATCATTTTCGACGAAATGAAATTAGTCATATAATTTTACCTGAAAGAAATAAAAGCTTTATCTCACTTTATCTTTTCATTGCTTTTCCAAAAGAACGAAAAAGCCAACAGAATTTTCTTTAGTAAAGAAATTGTAAATAAAAGAAATGAAAAACTGAAAAGCAAGAAAATTTGATATTATAATGATAAATAAATGAGAGAAACTAACAATATAAATAGTGTAGCAAATTTGAGCTTTATCAAACAACTATTACGTTACTACATGAAGATGTTTCAACCATTGTTATTTGTTATAGTGTCGCAGTAAAGAAGAAGAGAAGGATGACGTTTTAGAGTTTAAGATAAAACACAATCAGGTAAAACACACAGCTCAGTTTGGAGTCTTTTTGGCTCCTTGCTTCACCGTTCTTTTGGTCAGTAATGACATTTGGAAAATGGTGTTGTTTGACGATAATGACTGTAAAGCTGATAGATACTCTGAAGTCTAGGAAACAACAAATGTTCTAATTTTATTTTTATTTTTAGGTTGTAGAAGGTTCTACTACGATGAATGAAAACTATAAAAAAACGAATATGCATGTTTTACTTATTAATTCGGACTAATCCTTGTTCAATTATAGCTAGAAACTATACCAAATAAACATAATAAGTGAACTTAAGGAACATCAAAGTAAGGAAATACCATTATAGTTTCTTTTTTTGTACATAAGTAGAATGAAGAATGTGTTACAAAAAAGTAGAACGAAGAATAGTTTCATATAACCATGAGGTGGTGGTCTAGAGGTAGGTGAATTTTGAGATTTGTTAAACAATCCAGATTCGAGGACATCTCACTACATCTTACTTTGTGGCTACGCAGATATGAACCTATCTTACGATCTATTTAAATATCAAATGTGGGGGTCTATCCGTGAATTACACCATTTCTTTGTGTATTAGCTAACCTGAGTTTTTTCATAGATTTGGAATATCCCAAAATTAGAAAACATAAAAAAAAAAAAAAGAGAGAGAATAGTTTCCTTTTAGTGCGACCAAAAAAAGAATAGTTTATCAGAAAATTAATGGACGGCATGAAGCATATAAAATATAGTCATCATCATGCATGGTTACAAAAATTTTAATCAAAAGGGCCATTTCCCCCCTACGTCAATATCAACTGTCCAATTCACGGAAAAATGTGGCGCGCTAAAGAGATATCTTTTCATTGGATAAGCAAACAGAAGAAATATTTCTTTTACAAAATCTTATTTATTTGAAAACAGTTAACAATATCTCTATATATATATACATGTTTCGTCCTTCAATCAATCACTCATACAGAAAACCGCTAAGAGAGCCGGGGAGGTAAGAAAAATAAAAATACAAAAGGAGAGGAGAGTTATCGAATACAAGTAATTTTATTTGGCAGTTGATTAGTTACTATATTAAGAATGGGTTACTGCGATGGTAAGTGGACGCCGGTAATTATTATGATTACGATTAATTCAGCGCTAGGTTTAGGTAATGCTTTGGTCAAAAAGGTGCTCGATGGTGGTGTTAATCATATGGTTATAGCAACGTACCGGCTCGCTATTTCCACCGTGTTTTTGGCACCAATCGCATTTTTCTGGGAACGGCAAGTATATGAAACTCAACTATTTTGTTCTTTATAATTATTATTAACTAGTAAAAATTGTTCATTATTTGTTTCTTAGGACAACAAGACCGAAACTTACGCTCAACATCTTGGTTCAGCTTTTCTTCAGTGCTCTTGTTGGGTTCGTCTTTTTAATTTGAGTCAAGAACTCCTAATATATATACTTGTAGGAATATTTATAAATTATAAAATATTAATATGCAGAAAATAGAGTAACTCACTGAAAATAAAAATAAATAGAGTATTTTGGTTGGATTTTTTGCTAAGAATTTAAATTTTAAAATATTGAGATTTAGGGGATGATTGGTAAGTGCTGTGAGTGCTCTCTACAGCTCATTTTCTTTCTACAACCACTTTATTTTACCAATTATGTTTTAGAGAATTAATTTAAAGCTAGAATCATAAAATTAGAATAAGAAATAAAATAGCATTGGAAATCAGTTTTTTTAAAATCTTATACTTAGTACTTTAAAAATTATTAATATAAATCTACAACAATAAATTCTACAGGTACAGCATTAAAATCTACAAGTATTATTCTAATGCTAAGAAAAAAATCACGCTATTTACCAATTATCTCCTTAAGATTTCGGCTTCGCAATTTTAATTTAAAATTTAATAGTTTAATTTTGTGTAACCAGAAAAACTAGACAATTTTGTTAATTAGAAATAATATAAGTAGTTTTTATTTGAATCAAAGTTTGATTATTTTCATAATTTCTCGTAGTTGTATTCCTAGTCTAATTAATTAAAAATATTGATTTAAATGTTTTGTATTTTTAGGGCAAGTTTGACTCAGTATTTCTTCCTACTGGGGCTATCGTACACGTCGGCTACGTTAGCATGTGCTTTTATTAGCATGACACCTGCGATTACGTTCGTGTTATCTTTAGTATTCAGGTAAATGTTCTTTCTACTAATACTTAAATGCATATTATTTCCATCATAAATCCTAATAAATTAAATTTAACACTAACCAATTCCTTGGGCGTAGGGTAGAGAAGCTAAACATGAAAAGCAAAGCAGGTATGGGGATGGTGATGGGCACTTTGATATGCATCGGAGGAGCTTTATTGTTAACAATGTACAAAGGTGTTCCCTTGACAAAATTTCACAAACTAGAAACCCATCTATTGACGAACCATAGACCCGCGTTGAAACCTGAGAACTGGATCATCGGATGCGTGCTTCTCTTCGCTGGTAGCAGCTGTTTCGGGTCGTGGATGTTAATACAATCCAAAGTGAACGATAAGTACCCTTGTCAATACTCAAGCACCGTCATATTATCTTTCTTTGGAACCATCCAATGTGCCCTTTTAAGCCTCATCAAATCTAGAGATATTACGTCTTGGATCCTCACAGATAAACTCGATATCATGACCATTGTTTATGCAGTAAGTTTTTTTATATACAAGGATGGTATTTTGTATATTTGACAGTATAGTTTTGTTCTAATTGGTTGCGAGTCAATTGTTAGTAAAAGATATGTTGAATTAAATAACTATTCACACAAAACGGTCGTAAGATTTTTAGTAAGAGAAATAGTGGTAAAAATGGTTGTACAAATATAATTGTTTTGTGATTGGTAACTACTGGTACATATACCTTTTACGGAAAGATTACCAATCAAATAAATACAGGAACCTATATATATATATATATCACAAGTTCAATATGTGCTATAGGGAGCGGTAGCACAAGGAATATGTACAGTGGGAACATCTTGGTGCATTAGAAAGAGAGGACCTATCTTTACTTCAGTATTTACTCCGGTCGGGCTTGTATTCGCAACTCTATTTGATTTCTCGATCCTTCATCGTCAAATATGTATTGGAAGGTACGTTTGAATTGCATACAGTGGCAGAAGTAGCTTATTAGGAAGGGGGTAAATCGACACCCATGAAATTTTAGAATCATAATTCATTTTTTATCAATTGTTTAAAAGTGACCCCAATCTAAATTTGTTTTGACCCCTATCACATTTTAATTCAAATGCAGTCCACTATTATTTATGCAATTCTCTTAAAGATAATTATTTTGACCCCTATGAGTATATATATATATATATATATGTATATATATATATGTGTATATTATGCATGGATTTGAAGGCGGACTTTCTTTGATATCTGCAGTGTCATCGGATCTGGAATTGTAATCTTCGGACTGTACATATTCTTGTTGGGAAAGATACGGCAAATGAAGGAAGAGTGTGCAAAGAAGTTGCCTTCTCATTGTGGTGAAGAAGAAAGCCAAGATGATGAACAATACAAAAAGGGTCATCTTATGGTTGTTCCAATGACTCCTTGATATGCTCAGACTTCTCCTCTTGTTCATTCACTTTGTACATTATTTTGAAAGTAATAATTAATATCAAACATAAACGACAACCAAGGCTCTTATAAATTTGGTAAAGCACTTTTCTCTTTGGATTCTATTCAATCAGACCTGCAGTTAGGGGCGGAGGTAAAGAAAAGTTTTATGGAAGACATAATTAAAAAAAAATTGACAGCAATAGGGATTAAAAACAAAAGGGAATTAATAGTTGAAATTAGTTAATGTTGTACATGTAATTTTGAAAATGAATAGGGCGCAAATCCCTTTTATACAATGTGGCCTATTCCCTGCATCCATTATTGAGCCCATCCATGGGTGAACTACATGGACGTAGTAGTCCAACGGGTCAGCAGACTAGTCAACAAGTTGCTTCTTCTTTATTGCTTGTGTATCTATCTTTTGTATCCACTAGTTTAAATTTGTTTTAAAATATTTATACATTGATGTGTGTGTGTGTGTGTAGCTTTTTTGCATACCCCTTTTATGTATTGATATTTTGATTCTACATGTTATGCCATTATATGTTTTAAATTTACTTAATTACTTAGTTAATTTTTTATGAATTGACCATATGTTTTGGGGGTTGAATTCTGAAAATTTTGGAACTTTGTTTCATAATTTCATAGTGCTTGATGTGTTGCTTTTTAACTACTTCAAACATTTTATAAAAGTTCTAATTGAATCATTAACTATATTTTAGAGTTTTGTGATAATTTATCAAATCTTTTCAAGTTCCAGATTTTTATTAATTAATTATATTTTTATCTGTTCTTTTTTCGTGAGTAGCTTTCTAGGTTGGTTTGTGGTTTCCAAAGGGATCTAATAAGAGCCTTATATTTAGATGTTGATAAAGGAGATTGTAACTTTTTTCATCTAACTTGTTTGAAGTGTTGAAATTTAATTAGTTACCATTTTATATAATTTTGGTTGTTATAAGCATTTGCAACTGCATTTTAAAATTTTAGATTGTTAGAAATACTGATTGATCTACTATATTATGTGAATTAAAAAAAACGTGAGTTTGAAACAATTCTATGCATGATGGTTTATTTGTTTATGTATGTTTGACACTACAAGAAAACACGGCGATTCTGACGGAAAAATTCGTCGGAATTTCGTCGGAATAAAGGTATTTCGAGGATATACCGACGCAAACGGTCGTCGGAAATTCAGATTTCCTCGAAAATTTTCGAGGAAATACCGAGAACCAAAATTCCGAGGAAATTCCGACAAACCATTTCGTAAGACGTTTCTTCGGAATTCCCTCGGATTTTACTTATGGAGATGTCGGAAACATTCCGAGGGAGAAAAGTTATCGGAAAATTCCGACGACATGTTTCCTCAGAATTTTCCGAGGACTTCTGTTTCTTGGAATATTCCGAGGAAGCCCAGTTCCTCAGAATTTTCCAAAATTTATATTTTTTAAAAAATTATAAATTAATTGTTTTTTAATTAAAATTCAAAAATATAAAATAAAATTGAAAACTGAAAATATATTAGATAATAGAGTTGTTCAAATCGAAAAAACATTCAGAGTTTTTGAAAAAAAAAACCACGGGAATTGCTCGTTCGGGTACATCCGCCTCATCATCTCCATCATGCGCTCGTTCTGCCTCCTCGATTCCTCCCACCCCTTCTCTTGTTCCTCCATCTTCGCCTCCAATGCAGCTATGTGGTCATCCTTATCCTGCAGCTGCTCCATAACCATTGGATCAATAGGCGGTTGTGATGTAGGAGGAACCGATTTGGATCGACGACCCAAACCGACCAAATGTCCCTTCTTCTTTGGAACCAACTGAAAGAGAAAATAAACAAATTTTAGTAATAGAAAATATTATAAAATAAAATAAAAAGAAATAAATGAATTGAATTTTTATGAAAACATCTTACCGATTCAACAATCTCGTTGATTCGATCTTGGGACAGAGAGATCGAGGCCGTGGAAGTGGAGTCGAGCTCGGTTTGAAGCTGGGATAGACGGAGCTCTTCTTCGTCCTTGAGAGTGGTGATCATGTCGACCACCTCCTTCACAAGACCATCATCAATCTCCCCGGTATGCTTGTTGGTATGCGCCTTCTTCAACAGTTTGAAATCATCAACCGGCTCGCCATAATTTTCTTCCGCCTAGAAAAAAATATAAGTTAAAATAAACATTAGAAATCAGAATAAATGCATAAAAATAAAATAAAAATATTTAAATAATTGAAAAAAAAAGAAGAGATTCAACTTACAATTTTATCTCCGAGAGTGGCAATACTCATGGCACCCAAGTTGTACTTGCCCACGCCCTTACCGCCACGATTGCTGTTGGGGTTGGTGGAGTTGGTGCTGGAGGTTGCTTTCGTCTCGCATTTCTTCCAATGCTCACACAAGTCCTTCCAAACCATGTCGTTCACCGACTTGGAGACCTTTTAATAAATAAATAAAAATAGTTAAATAAATCTAAAAATAAATTAATAAATTAAAAAATAATTTAATAAACCGATACCTTATTGATGCGCCACTTCTGCTTCCACTCATGGATCTGCTTCTCATAGTTATCCATAACTTTATAGATGAAGGCGTTTCGGATAAATGGTGTATGATCGGGATGCCAGATAAACTCTTGCTGAAAAAAACACAATTAGTAAAATATTAATATTAAAGATGAAAAATATAACTTAAAAAGTAGAATACTTACCGCAAACTAACGAAACCACATCTTCTGTTCGGCGGGAGGGAAGTGTGTGAACGTCGGATATCCCTTCTTGAGGTCCGAGTACATCATCCGGTTGATCTATGAGATGATCCCATTCCCGAATCGGTTGAACCTATCAAAAAGGATCAAATTATTAATAATGAATAAACACTTAAAGAAAAAAAAGACTTTTAATTACCATGTTTGACCTTGTCCCGTCGGATACTCGGTGAGATAGAGAAGATGCTCACGACCGGGCTGTTGAACCAACTGTTCAATAGTCATCGCTCCCGGAACGACTGGAGGATCAGGAATGTCTTGCGTCGGCGAAGAATCCTGAGAGCCCCGAGAGCGGCTCCCCAAACCACTAGAACCTCGTGGTACGGAATGACGAACTCGAGACCGACTCTGATCTCCAGTAGACCTATAAATTAAAAAAAAAAAAGTAAAAACAGTTTTAATCACAAAAAGATTAAAAATAGTTTTAATCAGAAAAAAAAATAAAAAAATAGTTTTAATCAGAAAAAAAAATAAAAAAAAAATATTTTTAATGATATTAAAATACAAGATAGGTTTTAATCACAAAAAATATTTTGAAATAACTTGTAATAATTTTAAAAATAATTTATAATCACAAAAAAAAAGTTTCAGTAATATTAAAAAAAACCTTTTAATAAATAGGAAAATACTTTATTAATTAAAAAATTGTGTTTAATCACAAAAAAAGTTTCAGTAATATTAAAACAACCTTTTAATAAATAAGAAAATACTTTATTAATTAAAAAAATGTTTATCACAAAAAAGTTTCAGTAATATTAAAACAACCTTTTAATAAATAGGAAAATACTTTATTAATTAAAAAATTGTTTTTAATCACAAAAAAAGTTTCAGTAATATAAAAAACTTTTAATAAATAGAAAAAACCTTTTAATTCCGAAAATAAATTTATAAACAAAAATTTTATAAATCAACAACAACAACAACAACATCACAATAAACACAAACACCATCTAATTCCCCTATCTACCAATCACCCTAACAAAATCACTATCTAAAACATCGAAAATCCCTAAAACTAACTTCAAATCCTAAGCAAAACACCTAAGGATGATGGGGAATGAGGACTTACATGATTTGGGAATGAAATAGATCGGGAGAGAGGAGTTTTCGAGGAGGAGAATCAAGAGAGAGAGGCGGAGATTCGCGGCGGCGAAAGAGAAGAGAAGAGAAATGAGGAAGAAGAACCTTTTCGGGTTAATAATCTGCCCCACAAATTTCCGGAGGTGGACTGTCAAACACCCTCTTGTTCTTCGTAGACAAATTTCTACTCTTACGATATGGATGGTCAGGTGGTAGGAATCTCATGTCACAGTCAAACCAACACGTTTTCCTTCCCTGTTTTAATTGAAAAGCATCAGTGTTATCTTGACAATATGGACATGATAGCCTTCCATGCGTTGTCCATCCAGATAACATACCATATGCTGGAAAATCACTTATTGTCCACATAAGTACTACCCGCATTTGAAAGTTTTCCTTACACGAAACATCGTATGTTTCAGCACCTTGAGCCCATAGTTGCTGCAACTCATATATTAGTGGCTGAAGAAACACATCAAGTGATCTCCTAGGATGCTCTGGCCCAAGAACGAGAATGGAGAGAAACAAAAACTCTCGACGCAAGCACTGGTTTGGCGGTAAGTTGTATGGTGTAAGAATGACTGGCCATAGAGAATATTGTCTCCCATGCTTGCCAAATGGGCTGAAACCATCCGTACATAATCCAAGGTAGACATTCTTCTCTCATACGCAAAATCTGGATATGTTGATTGGAAATGCTTCCAAGCTTTTGCATCTGAAAGATGTCTAATCTCACCATCTGTTGAATGCTCTGCATGCCATCTCATTGGTTGTGCTATGCGTTCAGACTGATACAATCTCTGCAACCTTTCCGTCAAAGGCAAATACCACATCGTTTTGTATGGCACTGGAACTCTTCCACTCGTATCTTTATAACGAGCCTTCCCACAAAATTTGCATGTAACCCGCTGCTCATCCGCCCTCCAATAAATCATGCAGTTATCGCTGCATACATCTATTACTTGATACGATAAACCAAGACCAGCTACCAGTTTCTGAACCTCGTAGTATGAACCAGAGGCTACATTATCTTCGGGTAGAATATCTTTTACAAAATTAGCAATCGCATCCACACAGTCTTCAGCCAAATTATAATCTGTTTTAATGCCCATCAGTCTTGTTGCAGATGATAAAGCTAAATGACCATCTCTGCAACCTTCGTACAAAGGTTGCTTTCCTGCATCCAACATATCAAAAAATCTTTTAGCTTCTGCATTGGGTAAATCTTCCCCTCTAAAATGATCATTTACCATCTGCTCAGTACCTACACCATAATCTACATCCGTTCTAAAT